GTATCTTATTAAGGATTTTTGCATCTATATTCATTAAGGAGATTGGTCTGTAGTTCTCCTTTTTGGTTGTATCTTTCTCTGGTTTGGGAATCAGAGTGATACTTGCTTCCAGGAATGAATTTGGAAGTATAGCTTCTCTTTCAATTTCATTGAAAAGTTTGAAGAGTAATGGTAGTAGTTCTTCTCTAAATGTCTTGTAAAATTCAGCAGTGAATCCATCAGGGCCTGGGCTTTTCTTTGTTGGTAAGTTTTTAATTACATTTTCAATTTCACTGATTGTGATTGGGGTGTTTAAAATGTTTTTATCTTCTTCGTTCAACTTTGGTTATACCATATATTCTGACTTTGGTTCTTTAACCTTTATAACCTCCAGTCTTTGGCCCTTTGTCCATCCTCCTCCTCCTATACCTGTTCTCCAAACTGTCTTAATTTCACTGATTGTGATTGGGGTGTTTAAAATGTTTTTATCTTCTTCGTTCAACTTTGGTTATACCATATATTCTGACTTTGGTTCTTTAACCTTTATAACCTCCAGTCTTTGGCCCTTTGTCCATCCTCCTCCTCCTATACCTCTGTTCCCCAAACTGTCTCATTACCATGAACTCCTGTTTTCTGAAATTTCTTAACCCCTAGCTTCTTTGACTCTCCTGGGCTTTTTCTTTTTGGGGTTGCTTTTCTAAGTCATCTTCTTGGTTGAGTCATTAAATTTTCATTAGTTTTATTTGAATAAGGGATTTGTTTTATTAGAAACTTACATCTTAATTTAAAAATTTTTTCCCTTTTAGCTTTTCCTAAAGGCTCCTGTGAATACCTCAGAACTAACAGATCTCTTAATTCAACAGAACCAAATTGGGAGTGTGATTAAGGTAAGTAGGACAGTTGCTTTCATTTGGATTACATGAGTTCTTTACCCTGTTCAGCCCAACTGGAAGGAAGTACCTCTGGAGGACTGATCAGAAGTCCAGTATCATAAGCCAGGGAGTAGCAGAGGAGGAGAAAAGTGGGTCAATTCAGAAGATACTGGGGACGTGAAATGTGATGGGCTTAGTGTGTGTTTGGCTGTGAGAATGAGAGAAAACGTCAAGAATTAACTTCCACATTTCTGGTTTGAGCAACCGGGAAAGCTAACATGAAAGATCAGGTTAGGAGGAGGAATGTCACTTTGAATTTGAACACTCTGAGTTTAGGATGACTGTGACGTGTAAATGAGATATTGAGCAGCAGCTGGAGACTTACAGGTTTTAGCAGAAGTGGCTGGGATTTCCCAGGGAGGTAGGGGATGGGCTCACCTTCATCATACCAGTGGTATTTGGATGAGGAAAGTCAGTGGTAGTGTCAGCAGTAAATGAATGATTTGAGAAGTAGAAGAAAAAGCAGTAGAATGATGCCATAAAAACAGAGGAGGAACATTTGAAGGAGAAGGGAATTGTCATCATTGACAGATGCAGTAGAGAGTTCTGGCTGCTGCCTATCTGGTGGTTCCTATGGTTGTCTATTGCCGCATAACAAACTATCTCACAACTTACTGTCATAGAAGAGCAAATCAGTTAGGTGGCTTGTGGATCTGAGGTTTGGACAGAGCTCAGTGGGGACGACTCATCTGCTTCTGTTCTGTGTCACAGCTGGGGAGGCTCAACAGGGAACGAGAAGGTTCACTTTTAAGATGGCTAGCCGTGTGACTGGCAAGTGTTGGCTCTGTTGGCAACCCATCTTGCACTTAGGGCCAGAGGCCGCAGGCCTTCTCCATATGGGCCTTATATGACGTTTGGGTTCCAAGAATAAGCAACCCAAAAGAACTAGGTGGAAATGTATAGCATGTTATGATCAAGTGTCCTTCCCTCCACTCACTTGATTGGCACAGACAGTGTCTTCCCAAGGGAGGGAACGTCTAGCCGGGGGAGGGCACATACAGCTCAACACTCAGTGGGTAGCTGTCAGAAGAGAATGTCGGTAGGGCCATCTATAGAAGATGCAGTCTGCTCCTGTGACCTTAATCTAGTTCCAGAATGATACTAGCACCTACCTAGCAACTTGAGTAGGTGAATAAAATGAGTTGCTAAGTGCTTAGAATGGTGACTGGTACATGGAAAGTTAGGTAGGTAGATGGTGGATAGATAAATGGAGAGCAGTCAGCATTGATGTCTTTTCCCAGCCCGAGAACTTGTTCTCTAGCTTGTTGTGAAAAACAAAAACAGGCCACAGTGTAGTGGCTCATTTAGATGGCTCCCCTTCAGCTTCTTCACTTTGTCTTCAAGGCCAAATTTCTTAAAAAGTAGCTCCAGATTGTGCCCACTTCCTTGCCTTCTATTTATTTCTTAAACACCTTAATCATTTTTGTGTCGATAAAATTTTTATACTGAATGATGGATCTTTGTTACTAAATATAATGGATGCTTTCAGACCTTCTGATAACATTAGAGACTTTTTGTTCTAAGTGTAAAGAAAATGAGAAAAAAACCTCTATAGCTTTCCTTTATTAGGGCAACAGGAAGAAGTGGACCACTTGCTCTTTCATTAAATACAGTGGACCCTTGACTTACAAACTCGATTAGTTCCTGAGGGAGGGTTGGTTGTAAGTCAATACAGCTGAGATCTGGATGTTTACCTAGTACATGCTATAGATAACAAGAAGCAGATGAGTCTTCCATTAGCCTAATTAACCCAAATTGTTCATGTGTCAGGCTGGTTGTAACTTGAGGGGCCACTGTAAATCTGATCTCTAGCTGATGAGTGTCTTATGATACCTGATGGGTATGTATGAGAAGCAATTGCTTTTGTCCTTGAGACAGCCTATCAATCATCCATTTGGCAGATTCAGCCTTTATGTGGATAATCATGTAAAAGGTCTAGTTCTAATTACAGCTTCTTTGGCATAAGGAGATGTTTGAGATTTCCTGAGCCTGCAGACTTTGTGTTTTTAGGAGCTGACTGCCCAGAGCATTTGTTGGAGCCTTTGGGATAGGTGGATTTGGACTCTTAATATAGGGCCCTAGGGTCACAGAAAAGGACAGGGGGAGCTCAGTGAATTTTTATATGCATGAGTTGGAGAAAGAAGCTAGAGATGAAGGGAAGGTCTCTGTAGTAACTGCTCAGTACTTGTCTAAAATATTGTGGACCGAAATGGCTTAGAAGAGAGAGTAATGGGATGGAATGAGAGTTGGTTGATGGAGCAGAGAAGTGCATTAAGCAGCTGGAGAGGCAGGTGGTTTTTAGATGTGATTGTGAACGTAGACTTATGCAACAGCAGACCTTATGGAGTGTAGCCATTGCCAGGAGAGGAATATGGGGGATGTTAATGCTTTATGAGCTGAACAAGTGTGTTTTTTTTTATTTCATAGGACTTGAAAAGGGTCCCTTTTATTTCCCCTGGCCTTTTTTCTGCCCTTATTGTTCAGGCTTTGACACAGCACGTGTGCACATGCGTGTGTGTGTAGGGTGATCCTCTGAAGCTCTTGGAAACTCAGATGTTGATCTTGGAGAACCAAGGGCTGGTTTATCTATTACTTTTTTCTGGATTTCTTGCCCCTTTCTCCTTTATGAATTTGCTCTTAGTCTTCTCAGTGGAAGTATGAGTCTCATCAGTTACCTTTCATTCTCCACTTGTATCATTGAACTTGATACAAACCATTTAACTTCACTGATAGTAAACACTGGACAGCTCTCTGGAAGTAGGAGTTTTAGGGTGCAGCATTATTGTGGGGCACAATGAAACAAACAAGGGCTGGCTCTTGCCGGGTCATTTAAAAGACAAAATGTTTTGTGAGTTTTTGCTTCCATAATGAAAATTTGTACAGGAAAATGTCTCAGGAATGTTACACAGTGTTTTAGATGGGCTCATCTGGAATGTAAGAGGAACAGAACCAACGTAGGACGTAGGCCAAGGGATGTGGGCAAAGTCACGATATTGAGGATATTGTGCTTTTCTAAGCTGACAGCAAGAAAACAAAGTTTTTCTTTTTAAAGTGAAAAGATAAATGGGCTTAATTCCAATATTTGATATTACTGTACTTCTTTCCAGTGAAAATAAAATCAAATATTTTCTTTTTTAAAATAGCAAACGAATGTTTCAGAAGACAGTGATGATGATGTGGATGAAGATGAGATTTTTGGTTTCATAAGCCTTTTAAATTTAACTGAAAGAAAGGTTAGTTTCACCTGGGTAGCATCTGAATGGTCATTCCTGGGGCCCAAGCCATTTTTGTTTAATGTGTGGTGAGGAAGTCTTTTATGTCAGACTATCACATTAACTAAGGATTTGAGCTCTTACTGCAACTCTCAATGCCAAGGTGTTTTTGTTTTGAATGTTTTGTACCTGGTTAAAGTTGTTTACTCCCTGTGGCCGGGTCACTTGGCATTTGACATAGGAAATGGTGGTGCGGTATCTCTGCAGCTGGTCTCTGTGCTGCAGTGGACACTCATTCCTTACAGCTTTCTAAAGTTGAGGGGACTGACTGACTGGCATTTACTTGTATTTGATTTCTTATCTTAATGGACTCATTGATAAATTCTCCAAAAAAAAAAATGCCAACAGCTTAGTCTCTTGAGAATAAGATGAAGGCTACACATTTAAAAATCTTTAATTTTAAGAAGAACATTCTTCCAATTATTTCCCACTGTTTTTGTGAGATGGACTAGGATTACTATTCCAGTGTGTGTTAATTCACCACCATGCATAAACTGGTAACTAAGCAGGAGTAATTACTTTTGAGAAATGCTTAAGCAGTCAACACTGAAGACGTACCCGATTATAAAGGGTGTAGCAGAAAACTTCTCTTACCTGTGAGATAAAAACAGTGGCTCTCACTTTCAAGTTTTTGCCTGTAAGTGATGGCCTGTAATAAAAAGCAAAGTTTCTCTTTGCTTTCTAGGGTACCCAGTGTGCTGAACAGATTAAAGAGTTGATTTTAAGCTGCTGTGAGAAGAACTGTGAAAAGAGCATGGTTGAACAGCTGGACAAACTTTTAAATGACAACACCAAGCCTGTGGGCTTTCTGCTAAGTGAAAGATTCATTAATGTCCCTCCACAGATCGCTCTGCCCATGCACCAGCAACTTCAGTAAGAGACTTCGGAAAAATGCTTTCAAATAGTAATTTTTTTCCAAGTAGATTCAGAAATGTTATTGAAACAGAAGGTGTAGGTAGAGAAAGTTCTTTTCATTTTCGGTAACAGGAATCAAACTCAGGACATGGCAGGTGCGGTGTCACTGAGCTAAATCCCTGGGCCCTAAGAGTTCTAACCTAGGTGGAAGCAAGTTTGTTGTGAGGAGGGGAAGAAACAGTTTGTGCGGCGCATTCATTTCTAATCTGCTTTTTGAAGAGTTTTCATTACTTGTGATTAATTTTTTTTAAAGCATAAAGATTTAAATGGTGCAAAAGTAGATGAATTTTAGGCTTTTCACCCCATTTGACTGTTTTCCACTGTGGTTTCTGTGACATAAGTAGAATGCCAAACAATTACAGCAGTAACAAAAACTGAGTCAAATTCCTAAATCTTTGGTATAACTAGTGAAACTAGTCCTGGATACTGTGTCTCTTGCTTTTGGGGTTTTTTATTACTTAATGCAGGAGTTTTAAGTTTTACAAAATAATCAAATATAAGCACTGAAAAACTTTCTTTGCAATTCCATTAACTATTCTACAATTTAGGATATCCACTTCTGTGTATTTCCTATAGTATGTCAGAAATAAGTCCTGTACACTGCATTTAGAGACTGTAGTAGTCTCGTTAGTTGTGGCTTTGTGCCTTTGTATGTTTCAATTTAATAGTCATTGCTTTAAAAAAATTCAGATTCTTATATATTTTTTACTTTGCACAGAGCAGTGATGCTGAGTTTGAGACTTATCTGTCAGTTGCTATGTATCTAGATAAACAAGAGATTCTTTACAGTATTATAAAAATGGTGCAATAATCACTCTAAAGTACAGCTTACTGCCTAAATAAAAATCATTGCTGTAGTCCCAGGATTCGGGAGGCTGAGGCAGAAGGACTGCAGTGAGTTTGAGGCCAGACTGTAACTACATACCAAGATGCTGTCTCAAAAAGCAACACAAGGGCTGGGGATTTAGCTCAGTGGCTCTGCTGCCTGCCTCGCAAGCACAAGGTCCTGAGTTCGATCTCTGGTACTAAAACCCCCCCCCACAAAACATTGCTTTAGAAGTATCCAGATCAAATGCCTGTTGTTAAGCTTGTGTCACAGCAAAACCCACTGAAGGTCCTTTATTGTCTTTGTAGAATAAGCCCAGCAGGTAACATTCTATGTATCTACCTTGTAGGAAAGAACTAACAGAGGCACATAAAACTAATAAACCATGTGGGAAGTGCTACTTCTATCTTCTCATTAGTAAGACATTTGTGGAAGCAGGAAAAACCAATTCTAAAAAGAAATGGAGCAGCCAGAAGAAGGATGAATTAATGTTTGCAAATGCAGAAGAAGAATTTTTCTATGAGGTAAGAAGACAATCTTTCTTCTAGTTTAATGTAAGGATTATCTTGAAAATAAGTTTATTGTCCTCCCATTTTATATCAAAGTTATTGAAGTATGGCCACTGGCTAGCAGCTAACGTACCACCTGGCACAAAGGAGGTAGTCAAAAGGCTATTTACCAACCTTCCTGCCACACTGTAGGTAGTATGTGGGGATGCGGACGGGGAGAAAAGGGCCTCATCGGGCATTTATAATGTTTACTGTGAGATTTTTAATTCTACAGCCATGCTGTGAGGTAGACAGGAGTCCAGTTTAGTATGAATGTTGAATATGAGATTAGGGAAATTACCTGAGATCACACAGCCAGTCACTGCAGAAGTTGCGGTGCACTTGCTACCTGTTCCCCGAGTTGTGGCTGTCACCCCACTGGTGGGACCTCTAGTGTTCCTTCTAAATAGGCAGCTTTTACTGTGATGGACAACCAAACACCAGAGAATATTCTTTCTTACTACAGTCTTCCTCTCAAAAATCTTGACGTAACTCTGAAGGGGAACATATTTTTATAAATTGGATGATATCACCTAATTTTGAGACTTATGGTCAAACCGAAGCAGGATAGATTTAGCTGTGCTCTTGTTTTCCAGGAATAGTAAAAATAATTTAAAAAATACATGCCTGAGTACCTCAGACCATTTTGGAGAGAGTATGTACAGGTGTTAACTATCAAATGTTGAGTCTTAATTTCATTTACCAACTACAAGATTATTTTGAGAAATCAAATGAGATCATGAATGTGATCAGCTTTGGAATTAGAAACAGTCTACAAATGGGTAAAAGTACTAGTATTATTTAGCTTCCTGTTTACCTCTTAGAAATGACAGGCTGGGGATTTAGCTCAGTAAGTGGTGCTGCACCAGCCTGGCAAGCTCAAAGTTCTGAGTTTGATCCTCAGTACAAAAAAAAAAAAAAAAAAGGAAACCCAATCCCCA